GTTATGTTTAGGAGGCGACTGCTGGGTCACATGGTATATTAAATACCCTGTCACCTAAAGCAAAAAACAGTTCCCTGAGTTTAAAAGTGAGAAGACATTTTACACTTGAAGAGAGAAGCATAAGCATTTGTTTCCATTTTGTGTAATGTTTAGCGTTGTTTGCGGTGAGGTGAGTCAATGACTTGAATTAATTATAATTACTGAAGAGACGTATACTGATTGAGCAAATAAAGTAGTAAGCTCATTCGTGCCAAGGCCATCTAATTAAATGCTAACTTTGGATAAGCTGGATGTGCATGAAAGATTAATTTTAAGAGGTTTTTATGGCTCCCACTAAATAATGATTCAGTAAAATCTTTGCATTATATCATTAGAACATCTAATCTTAAAGTGATATAACATTTAGTCACAGGACTCTATTGTACAAGAAGATGCAGTAAATTATTATTGTTTGAGATTAATCACTTTTCGCTAAGAAATGTTTATGGGCTTTGTTTTAATTTTCTACCCTGGTGTGCAGTGAAGCAAATCAGAAGTGAGCAGGATACAGCACAGGCATTTTTCTCAATGACTGTATCATTACCTCCTCATTGTGCAGGTACTTCAGGGGTAAGTTGTGCCCCACAATAACCTATTTGAGGTGTACATCATCCGGTTTTGGAGAGAGGTACATACTTTCTCATGGACTTTGATTAAAAAGTTGGGTTTAAATCTTAGGAAGACTTCCTGTGTTGAAAGAATTGATAGAGTTTACATATGTATTTTTCTTTTTGAATTTAACAAACTGTGTTTATTTTTAAAGCCTATTAATTTTGTTACAGAACATTATTTAATGATACAGATATTTCTAAAATTATATATGTATATAGAAAAAATCCATAGAAATTCATCATTTGAGTTGTCTGTCATGTCCCTCACTCTTTTGTCTGAAAGTACCAGCAACATATGTAAGAACTGCTGATGCTGCTTACGTTCTTGTAATTAGCCTGACTACTGTTGTTATAGATCACCAAATATTACATTGTTTTGTGTCTGTTCTTAGTTTAGAGAACATGAAAAGCAATGGTCCATAGGAGCAATAGACTTTGATACCAAGTTATTCTTCAGAAGAAATTTATTTATTAGTGGGAATAACTTTCCTAAGTGTAGCCACTGCTTATTACCAAAGTGCATAAATATACATTGATCTGCTTAAATTATAAAAACCAGAAAGTACAAAGTGTGTGAATTCAGCAGATTGCACTTTTCAGCAATGTCAAATAATGGCCCTAATTCTGAGCAGTTCTTGAACAGCAGCAGCAAAGAATAGCAGTAATGTGCCAACCACCGAGAATTCTGACAACACTGATGGAGAAAACAGAAATACAGAGAAATTAAGCGAGTTGTTTATGTGCACACCACATTAGCAATAATTTGGGAAACAGTATCCCTGGGTTTTTGCCTCTTCAAGCCTGTGTGTGCTGCACAGCGCCGTGTCTCCTCCAATGAATTGCAGATAATGAAACATCATCTTTGCTTTGAGTGAGATGGAAACGCTGTAGAAATACCAAACAGGAATTTTCATCAGATCAAACTGTAGGAGAGCACTGGATAGCCTTAAGAGAATCCATTAATAAAAATACTCAGGTAATTTTCTATGATTTATCATATGTTTTCTGTGTATCCAGTGACTCCTCACTTCCTTAAAGGACTGGTGGAATATCCCATTTCTTAACAATAAAAGCTTAATGGAATCAGATTTGTGATTTCCTAGAAAATTAACGAGATATTTTGTCAATTTTATTCCAGACTTCATTTGTCAGAATATGCAGTGTCCAGTGACAAGCTAAAAGAATTTTTTGACAAATTAACTATGCCACAGGTGACAGATCAGGAAAATGTTAATTTAACAGCCCCTTTATGCTTCCCAGATTTATTGGAGGCTATTAAGGAAACTCCAAATGGTAAGGCCCCTGGCCCTGAATAGATTTTCCATTGAATTTTATACAGGATCTATTAATAAAGTTTGATGCTGCCTTTTTGAATATAGGTAATTGTACTTCATCTTCTGGGTCTCCTCAGCATTTGCAGTCGGAATACAGTTTTTAGTTGAGAGAAAAAGGTAATTATGCTTCCAGTAGTGTCTGTAATCTGGTTCTGAATGATTCCCCCTAAAGAAGGGACTACAAGCACCATATAAAACCCACAAGTTATTACTAGTTAAATCCAGTGTGGCTAGGTCTTTGACTCTTGGCCACCGAGACTAATAATTGGATCCCTTTTATTCAGTCCCACCACCTACAAATCCGTACCTAATAAGCCTTGCACAGATAAGTAATTGAGCTCTGTGGGACTTCCTACACAATTAATATTTTGCAGGACCAAGCTAAGGGTATGGATTCATTCCATCCTGGAGACAGGTACCTGATGGTTTGGATTTCTAATGCTGGTTCAGAACAAATATCATCAATTTGCAATAAACATAGCCGGGCTTTCTCCAGGCCCCTTTGACTCTGTGATTGATCAGTCTAAGCCTTGACCCACATGTTTATAGCCCATACTAGTGTTTCCTACCTAACATGACAATGAATGTTCTCATTACCGATAGAAAGTCTAATTGGTTTCCAAATCTCAGGTTCCATCCATACCTTATGGCAGTCAGTTTCACAGCCCTTTTAATTAATACAAATATTTCACTCAGGTTTTTAAACATCTTGACTATAATAGCCATGCTTTTGAGCCATTTCCTAGAACTGCTACTGTTGGTATTACTCCCCTTGCTCAAAGAGCAGTTGGAATCCTCATCCATGCACACATTGCCCCTGGTTTAAGCCACCCGTCATCTTGGTGTTCATATGAGTTTGGATATCAGTAATGGAGGGAGTTTGGACAAGCAAGTTGGAAAAAATAGACTGAAGGAGGTAGAGGAGATTGAGATGGGAAGAACAAAGAAAAGTTTATTTCAAAAGCACCAAACACAAAGCATCAGCACTGTGTAGGGCATAGACGAGAGAGGAGCGGTGTAACAGCTAGATTGAGGCAAGTCACCATCTTATTTGTGGCAGCCATAAGATCAGGGTCCCCAGAACGTGTTTATTTTATTAATACATGTGTTTATTGATCATGAGCTTATAAAACAGTCTGTACTTGTAGTAGTGGCTAATGGAGTAATCTGGTCTTTTTGGTTATTAGTTACAGGTCTTGGCTCGCTTGTCCTTTCGCTGCTTTGATGCTGTGTGTGTCAGTTGTAACCTTGGCATCCACTCTCACATCTGGTTGTCAATTTTTCTTGGAGTTTCCCATTACCACGACTAAGCATTACTTACGATTCTGCCATCCTTGGATTTAAATGTGTAACTAACTTGGCATGCCGAGGAGCTGCATTAATTTCCTTGATAACTGCCATTTATCCATGCGAATGCAAATGTAGTTGAAACCACAGGTCTCTCTTCATGCTGGTACCTCAGTCATGCCCATACTGTAAGGGATGCTCACAGCCTTGTGTGTCTTTGTACATTGCCTTGGTTAATGCTTGCACCTGGGCAAGGGCAGGGGTACACTTTGAGACTGGTGATTCATTACCTGATACCAGCTTAATTATCCTTAAAATAAATCCTGGAAGTAGGAAAGGAAGAGCAGAGGGAAAGAAACAAACTTAAACCACCATACTGTTTTAGCAGTTGTAGTTCTGCTGTGTTAATGATTTCATTAGCAAGGGGAGGTCAAGGTGGTATCTCGGAGGGCCCCAGGCACACTAGCTCACACTTAAGCTTTATCCAGACAAGGTGGAGTGACCTGTATTCTGGTACAAATCTAACATTTCCTTTTAAGTGAGTAAAACCAATTGATTCTTGCCTCCTCTTCCCATATTCTTAAGGTATCTGCACTATAAAAATGCTTTCTGAGAAAAAACAAACTTGTTATATTTGGATGGATTTTAATAATACTTTTAGCTATGCCAGTATGAATAACTTTAATCTTTAAATTTCTATTATTTCTCTAATTTATAATCACACTGAAGGATCAAATGATTTTTAACAATATATTGAAATTAGCACATGGCATTTAACTCCCTGTTTTATACTCTCATTATAGATTTATAGTATTGAATCCTTTTATTCTGTTACTTAGAATTCTGGGTGATTAATTCAAGTAATACTTTCTTCTCTCAAGGCCCATCTATGTATAGAGATAGATAGAGATATATAGTTAACATCAGGGGTGCTTTACAGAGGGGGTCAGGATGTACAGTCTTTTGTCTGTTTAAAAGATTACTGCTTTAAAATGCAGTCCTGTCTGCGGTAGATTAACCGTTTTCTTCTTGGAATGCAAACTTTACACATCTTTATGTTGCTGAGTTTTATGGTTTATTTAATTGTTGATCTCCACAGTGCCAAATAGATTTTTTTCAATACAGTAAATTCCAATAAAAGCCAATATCAGTTAATCCTCCTTAGTTGTTTTCAGATAGTTCAGGATAGTTTAATGGCTCAGTTGTATGTGTGATTTTGTTCTTCTCTTGGCAAACCAAGCTCCAGCCTAAGGTTTGTTTTTAGGTGTTGTCTTAGCCTCCACAGATGACCGACATTGGTTTTTGCCATAGGTCTCTGTTCAGGTTGTGTTCCCTGGTTTGATATCCTTGGATGAGCAGCCTGTGGTGTCTCTCTGGCTGTGGCCTGCACTGTGAGTGTAGATAGTTACTGGCCAGTGTTAAACACTGATGGAAAAGCCATTTTTGAAGTTTTTTGGATCCTGCAGGAACATGGGTTCTTGCAGTGAAGTTCCAACTCTATGGAAATCTGTGAAATCACTGCCAAATATTTCATATCCTTTTTACAGAATGCATCAAAAAGCAATAAAATAATTGGGATTTGAACATTCAAGCTTTATCCAGTTCCGAGTTGCAGCAGAGTATTTTAATCTTCCTATTGAAAAGAATCCCGCCCTCACCGCGTTCTGTGTTAGCTCCGTCGTGCATAGTTTTTGGTAATACATTCTAATGAAATATATTTTCTCGACAGGGTCATGTTGGTACAACGGCAACCAAAAAAATTGATGTCTACCTCCCACTGCACACAAGCCAAGACAAACTACAGCCCATGACAGTTGTGACGATAGCAAATGCCAAGGTGCATGACCTGATTGGACTAATATGCTGGCAATATACAAGTGAGGGACGGGAACCAAAACTGAAGTAATGTTCTTTCTTTACTACCTCTTGATCTCTGATTTTCTCCTCTGCAGCCTTTTTGCATAATGAAATAGATTTCCATGTCAATGTTTTCACAGATAAATCCTGGAGAAGCCACCTACACATTCATCAGTATTTCCTTTTGAGCAGCGAACATGCATCTATATCCATTTCTCTTTCAATTAAACTACTGGGTGCTGTATAATGATAAGCATATGAAACCATGGATCTGTAAATGAATCATAATTTCAAAATGCTCTGTGTAAAAATAGTATAAATCTTATATCTTTTGGTGTCATGGACACATTTTTCATTTTATGTCCCATCTATTTTTTGGTAGCATTCTTAATGGCAAAGATGTCAAAATCCGGAACCCATCTGTAACTCTCTCTCTTGTTTGTTCTGAGAGAAGGTACCCAGATTCTGAGTGGTTTATCTGCATGGTATCAGCTCCTCCTCCAGATTCATAGAGGAGTCACTGTACTGGGTGATTATGTATCTTGGAAATACTGTCAGTGTTCTCCCGAAACCATGGAGGAGGGGATTTTAGCCATAGTGAGTCTGCCTGAAAGCAAGCCAGGATTCTGTCATAGAGCTTCAGCATTACTTACTTGCTTTCAGCTGTCATTTTGCTGACAGAATGACTTTAATTCATTATACACATGTTAAAATATTTCTGGTTTTCTAGGACTTGCCAGATATAGGGGCTAATGGTGCTTTTCTTTCTTAGGATATCCTGGAGGTATCACTAAAATACACTAATAAGAACCCTAAAACCAAAATAAATACCAGTTTTCTTCAAAAATGAAGAATAAAATTACATTCTTTAATTCAGATTTTTCAGTATCTTAGATTAGCTTTGCTTACATCTGCATTGTGAAAGAATTCTGCCCCTAAGGTTTCTGTGACTAAATAATGGATGAGATTTGCTGTGCTGGGGAACCAGTGTTGTTTAGTAAGTTGTTGCTTTATGATGGTAGTAGACATGAAGTACATAAAACAGGTACTTCAGAGCCGCTCATCTGAGCAACTTCAGTTTTAAAACAGTTCTGTAAAACAGGTTTTGCTGGGTCATAGAACATAAAATAAGAACTTAAAATAGTTTCTTACAGCAGTGTTAGGAACAGATATTAGTGGGTGACTTTCGTGGTGCAAAGGGTTAGGGTTAGGGTTTGTTTGGGTTTTTTTCTATATGAGCCAATTTTCACTTTATTGTTCCTGTTAAAGTTATTAGATTAACTTTATTTTTCCCTTTTGGCACTGAATTTAAGTTTGCTCTTTCAGCAATTTTCGGAGGTGGTTGAGGGCTTGGTAATCTCTCCTGTTGTAGCCCAGTTGTACAGGAGGAGAGGAGCTGAGAGGTGGCTTGTGCTACCCTTCTCGAGGATTAGTTGGTTTCTGTCTAGTAGATACAACCCAGAAAAGCAGCCCCACTTGAAAACAGTTTCATAGATGTTGTTGCCTTGGATGTTGGATTTCCTTTAGCTCTTCCCAGCACACATATGAGATGTTTCAGAGGTTAAACACTTCACTTGGATTTGTCATTTTTTATTACACTGGGTAAGAAATATAAAATCATTTGCAGATGATGCCATTTCCTTGATTTCTGTTCATTATATCATAAGTTCAATGAAGTGTCCTTTGTGTGTGATCAGCTTATTTCGTTATGAGTACACCACCACTAACGTCACTCTTTGGACACGTGTGTATTTTACAGGAGCACAGCACACCTCAATGGAGGAGAGGTATTCCACAAAACATGGTTGCCCACAGCAAAATCCAGCAGTGGAATGGGATGAATTTCACTGCCTGCCTTGAAAGATAAAATGTTATGATGTGTCAAAGAGTGCTCCTGACCAAGGAGGCTGTTTCCTGTAATCAAATCTCAGGACAGAAATAATAATATAAATAATGGAGGCATAATGTTCCTGCAAACAACCTAACAGCAGCAATTGAGAGTCTGAGTACAAATGCTCAGAGGAAGGGGCAGAGCCTCAAGATTCCAAGCTCATTTTGTTGTCTAGTTCCTAACTATTTCTTGTGTCTCCATCATCCATTTTTAGCATTGCTGACTGCCAGTCCTGTAGCAAGGATTGACTTAACTGTAAACTGACTCTCATCATTTCCAAATAAGGACAGCTTGTGCAGGTTACACATCCTGCTTTTGCCATTTGCTCCTGGTTTAGGCAGTTCAGAGTATAAAAAGACAAAATGGGGATCATTGTGACACTGCACTAGAATACACAGGGTGCTTTGAATCTGATATACAGCGTATGCAGAATGACACATACACCTATTAGTAACACAGTTTGAGAATGATGAGGAGGTTGTAGACTTTGTAATTAAGAGGAACAACCCCTTTGTCTTTAGGAAAAGAATATATTACTGCCTAATTCTTTTCTCTAAAAGGTAGATGTAAGAGTATGAAGAGAGTGAGTACTAACTGACAGCTTTGAGAACATTTTGTATTCAGTTAGGTTGCTTCTTAAATTGTAATTGTATTATATTTGTCTCTATTCAGTGTCTTGATATGAGGAACCACTGACAGTGTTAGCAACCATGTTCCTGTCCTCTCACACCTGAACTTTGGTCATGACCCAGTGGACCATTCTCTTGCCAGCCCCTGACAGATGTGCTGTAATGATTCCACCTGCAAAAAATAACTGAAATCTCTTTCTAGGAATAAATAAACAGTGAGATGCCAAATTCAAATCAACTTCCTATTCCTAGAAGTTAAGAATGCTTTTACACCTGTCAGTTGCTGAATGCTTTTACATCTGTCCAAGCAAACTCGGGTTCTCAAGTCTTTGAACCTTGTAATTTGAAGTCTAACGTTCAGGACTTTGATCTCATCCTGATGGAGGTTCAGAATGCTGAGCAGTTTTATCCACTGGGCTTGGTTTTTCAACAGATTGTGACTTAATCTGTGTTAATGTTCAGGAACCCACCCCAGGTTTGAGTACATTGGTAACACCTTTAATTTAATGGATATTGAATATTTTCAGTGTAATTGGTGGAAGATAAGTTGTCACCACTACCTTTTTTTGGCATTTGGATTGCTTTGAGACTCACTGAATGTGTTCTGTTGCCTGCATGTCTATATGTTCTTCCAGCCTTAATGAGAATTATGCAAATGCATCAAGTACCAAATGAAAATGTTAACTTTATTTATACAGTGCTCACCAGGCTGCACATAAGAGAAGTCTGTCAGATGAGTAAGTTAGAAAGTCAGTGGTGTAAGGCAGACCATCCTGGCTTCTTGCAAGGGTATGTAGGGACAGGATGAGGGGGAATGCCTTTAAACTGAAAGAGGGAGATTTAGATGAGCTCTTAGGCAGAAGTCCTTCCCTGTGAAGGTGCTGAGGCACTGACACAGGGTGCCCAGAGAAGCTGTGGCTGCCCCATCCCTGGCAGCGCTCAAGGCCAGGCTGGGCCTGCTCCAGTGGAAGGTGTCCCTGCCTGTGGCAGGAACTGGATGAGCTTTAAGGTCCCTTCCAACCCAAACCATCCTGGGATTACATTTGTAGAAATCTAAATAGAATAAGAGAAGGACCCGAAAATGATGCCAGGCATTTCTCATTACATAAACAGGATCAACCCGTATCTATATTACTCACAGCCTCTTTTTTGAGCTTGCTCCTAAAAAGACTGGCAACACTGCAAACCACGCAGCTTCCTGGCTGCAGGCTTTCCCTGGAGCTGGCTGAATTCTCCTTCCAGCACTACCTTTCACCAGCTTCCCTGGAAGTTCCTTAGCACTCTTGAAGAAGTTAATTAATTCTACAGCAATGTTCGAGTTATTCATAACAGTCCAGAGACTCACAGAAATTTCTTTAGTAATATTGCAGAATGTTCCAAATTCAGAGACAAACATTGCTGGATTAACTTTTTGATGGCAAATCTACAGCTCATATTAATAGTAATGCATCATTAGTACTCATTTTATATAATAAATGTCTTAGTCATAACACAGTGCATCTCGATCACCTGGACTAAGCACTTTCCATAAAGCACAGTTGCAACCAAAGGTTTGTGAATTAATTGAGAAAATTGCAAATCAGGTAGTCAGTGAAATAATTCATTGTCACATCCAATCAATAAGCTTTGTAAATCAACTCATTTAATTCAAAAAATGATCTATATAGATCAAGCGACCAATTAAACAATTAGCATACACTTTGCAATTAATTAATTTAAGCATCAATCATGCAATTAAAACTCCAAATATAAACGGCAGAGTTTATAGAAACACACTGCCACGTGATCATTCAGGCTATACTTCATGGTTGTGGGAAATGACTGAATGCTGGCAGATTTACGATAAGAAAGAATACTTATTTTCAGGTCAATAACTTAAATAGTAACACTTGAAATAGATGTTAATGTTAAGAAAATATGATTAATACCTGTTTGGAAGGTGTTGATGGTTATTTCCTGATGGGTTTTCATCTGTGGAAAGAAAGAGGATTAGGACTTTATTTCCTATTTTCTTCACAGTGTATCTGTTCCAAACTCTCTTGTTTAGTTCTTATTATCAGTCTATACTAATTTTTAAGTGACTGGACTTCTTAGATGTTGAGCAGAGGTGGCTTTTGTACTAATCAACTTCTTCACAGTTACTTGATCTATGAAAAAACAGACACTGCTTGGTTGCCTTTAATTCTACAATGTAATGGGCATATAAGTAAATAAATTATCACAAATGGGGAACTATTACTTCCAGCTTTATGAAGTCATGGAACTTTTATAGACTTCAGTATATTTTAATCACTGTCAGTATTTCAGTTGCAATTCAGTTAATTATCAAGTAAGGCTCAGTGCTTTACACTGAGGTTTGGGAGGAGGGTTCTATTACCACATGGTTATGATAGCAAGATATGTTTGGGACATGTTTATGTACATGCCATCGATGGCTTTTCAGGGTATTGCTCCTGTAGCAGGCATCCCAGCTGATTTGTTACCTGCAGCCTTTAGTGACTGGTATGGATGGGCTGAACTGAATTCGGTTTCTAGCATCCTTCCTGAATAAACTTCACTTGTCTTTGTTTCAGCGACAATGTCAATGCCTACTGCCTCCATATTGCCGAGGATGACGGCGAGGTTGACACAGATTTTCCACCCTTGGATTCCAATGAGCCCATTCACAAGTTTGGCTTCAGCACTCTGGCACTGGTTGAAAAGTACTCTTCCCCTGGCCTGGCAGCCAAACAGTCGCTCTTTGTGCGCATGTGAGTATGGATGCGATCGCTCTCCATCACTGAGCAACAGCAGTGGGTCATTTTCTTCTTTGCTTTTCTTCATGTGAATTTAACACAGTTCAGGGGTACGTGTATTTGTGGCTCCCTGCAGGCAGTATCCTGGTCTGCGTTCTGTCCTGAGGCAGGTAGAAAAGTAACTGCTGGTGGCAGCAACGGGGGTGAGCCTTCATATCTAAAACTGCAGAGAAGCAGCCCTTCTGTGTATTATTACTGAAGAACATTGAACTGTTGCACTCCTGCTAGTGAATACTTGGAATTCACACAAAGTCTCAACACATAATCTTCATTTTGCTACAGCCATGCTGCTTATGAAATGAAGCAATCCTGCCAGTCGTATCACAAGGTCCACTTTTGGTTTGTGCAGGTTCCAGTCACGCAGTTGAGCCGGGGAATGGGCTTTTTTGCCTGTGGAATTGCAGAATATTTAGTTCCTTCCACCTGACAGAAGAATGCTGGGTGTTTAATCTGAAGGAGGGAGCATCTCTTTCACATGCATGCATTTCTGTAGAGTCAGTGGATTTGATTTGGCTATGGGTTTGATTTTTTTAATTCTGTGATCCTGTGATTGTTTTATCTTCAAGATAATGCATTTTCAGTATCCCGAGAAAAACACCAGCAGGTAGATAGAAAATCCTGTTCTAATTCCATGCAATCAAAAAGAATAACAAGTGTTCACTGCAGGTAGACCATTTAAGAATCCTGCTCATTAGAAGATTCTCATTTGTTGATGGTATCTCGTCTACAAAAGGTCCCCTTTCTTTCTCAACTGCCTCGTACCTACATACCCATTGCCTGTACACAGCGCATAAATAGGGATTGGTATTTAACTGTAGCGAACACGTGTGGTCTCAGGTTTTGGACATAGCTTGGAGGAGGTGATATCAGTGTTCCCATGTGGAGCCTAGACTCCTCAGCAGGATACAATTGGTGCTTGTATCAGGATTAAGGTCCAGCTGCAAATCCTGCAGATGAAATATGAAATCTTTTGCTTTAGCATAATCTCTGCTCATGTGAGGACCTTTCTTCTAACTTGGCAGGTCCTGACAATTAGTAGTAGGAGAACTGCATGATAAGAAGCAGTGCTTTTCTGATAGGTGTTGGTTTTTTCTTTGTGTCCATATGTTAATTTGAAATTTCTTGTACTTCCTGTGCATATAGTTATTTGTAAAGATTTAGATTTACATTAGAATTTTTAATGAGTCCCCTAGATTAGAAGAATACTTGATCATCACTTGATCAAGGGACTGTTACTACTGTGAGTTTCAATGTGTGTGCTGTCCATTTTTGTAGGGATTCATTGTAAATTCTACATCTTCTTCCCTTTTTGCATCTCTTTTTTTACCTCCTCATGCCGAAGTATTTCAGCTGCTGCTGTGTCAGGCTTGTGACTTGTAATGTTTATTAATAGTGAATCACTGTTGAAAAAGGTTGATGCTTCTGAGAAGCTTCGTGGTGAAACATGGTGTTTGATTTCAGATCTCACCGTCCTGCATACTGGATATATTTCCCAATGTTGTGCAGTTACCGAGCTGACAGTTATGGAACCCCGCCAGGGACCCCGTTTCAGCAGGACATGTTTGAGCAGAAACAGTTTGCAGAACTTTATACACTTAAACTCCTGCCAAGGCAAACTCTTAGCCACTTGAGTTGGTTATAAATACCCAGTGGTGGTGGTTAGAAGTAGCCCACAGTGTATTTTATATTCTGAGCTGAATGTGAATGTCTTTGTGGCTATATAGAGTAGTAAATAATTGAGTTTGATTAGGGAGAGGGACCTCATTATCCCCCCACCTGTGCCCAGCTGGTAGGGGAGGGTCGAAATGAAGCCATTAGCTGTCTCTCTTACTGGCATCTCAAAGAGCTCAAATACATCTGTGTCTTATTTTCTTTTCTGGCACAATCAGTCGAGCAAGCTAAGCAGGCATGACCGAATTTGGCAAGTTCCAAGGACTCTGGCAAAGTTACACAAGGAGAAGACGGAGGGCAGTCATTCTGGCTTCTAACTGCCCATTAGTCTAGCGAGTTATGTTTTTGGAAACTGTCTGTTGTGGAAAGCAGTACTTTGTCCAATGTCAAACACGGCACTCACAAACAGCCCTCTTTGATGCCGAGAAGGATTTGTCAGGAGGAGTCAAACAAAGCACCGCATTCATGTAAATGCAGACTCCTTGAGATGATGAAGTAATACCTGAAAGACTCTGAACAAGGTAGCTTAAAATAAATGTATACTATCATTAGGGCTTTTTCCCTTGGAAATTTTATTATCGCAACTTGACGTACTCGATCTAATGGTGTTTCTAGGAGTTGTGGTTCAGCTGCCAGTTGGCACACAGATGAAATTTGGCATGCAGTTCCTCTGCTCTGTTTTTTTCTGGTTTGATATTGTGTTTATGTTGCCTTGACTGTTATATATATTTTTCAAAGCAGCACTTCTGCTGTACCTGATAGATTAAGGTGGAAAGAGTTTTAAAACACCAGGCTTTCATCATACATCTCCAAATTCAATTCAGAGCTTCAAAGCATGTTTTTTACTTAGATTACAGAAGCACTCCCCAAAAGGCCCATTATCAGTTTTCACATGGGTGTAGGTAATCTACAAAGTACATTTTAGAATAGCTATGAAATACACATTTCAGAAGGTTATGGAGGTACCAAAGTTCAGAAGGTAGGAAAGACCCCAAGGAAGGAGTTGGAGCAGGAATAGGGCTTCTAGATGTCTAATGATAGCTTCCAGCAATGTCAAAACACAGCCAGTTAAAGCACATAAAGTTATCCAAGGCTAACCTGAGATGCACTAAAGCAAGATCATTTAGATTCGGGATAAAAACTTTGGCTGGCATAGTTACTGTGGTTAATATCACTGTGCACTTTATCTCTAGAAATTACCCAGCATAAGTACATTGCATCAACTGGGATTTTTAGTTTTAACTTTGACTTTGTGCTGATCAAGTGGAAATCATTATTAGTCATCCGCAGGCACTTTCAACCATGCCAGGCATCTTTTGCAGCAACTTTTAAGGGCTATAAATTCCATTTCAGTGTTAAAAAAACCCCAGTTAAAAACTAAGAAAACTGCTCCAGATTGGAAAGGGAGCTTTTGGAAAAGTTTGTTTCCCAGTTCAGAACAGAAGCCCTTTGTCCTTTCAGCATTAGGCTTTTATTTTGTCATACAAATAAGAGCCCATGGAGAGGACACTGCTGTTTCCATGCCACCTATGAGCACTTTCCCCCCACAGGGCAGCACCCACGTGTCAGCCCACTGAAGCTCTTGCCTCTTGTGTTGTTTGCTTTTTCCTCTTCTGAACCTTGCCACCCTGGCTCCAGCGCTGAGGCTGTAAAAGAAGATGGAAAGCCAAGTTACCGCAGAATGATCACTATCATTAACATTCACGGGTGGTTCACTTATCATTCCTGACTGCACAGACATGGCAGCCGTTATGAAACGTCCACAGGTGTAGCACGATGATACATATTACATTGTGCCACAATGGATTTATGTATTCTGTAACAAAAGAAAAGTGTAATGAAAAAATACAGAAGGTAATCCTTTATTCCTCCACTGCACAATTTATCAGTAATGCCTGTGGATGATAAGTGCCAGGGATTTCCTTTGCTTGATTTAACCTTGTCACCCAGGTATGTTTTTGCGAAATGACAGAAAATACAACCTAAGGAATTTCTTTGGCTTCCAATCTGTAAGCAGCAGTTTTAATTGACTGAATGGCCTCTGCTTGTCTGTCCCGTTTCCTAGGGTGTTAACTTACTATAAAGGTATCACACATTAGCAGGGTAAGCTAAAACATGCCATTCATAATTGTAATAAAGGAGTGGAATGGAAACATGCCATTCATAATCGTAATGAAGGAATGCTGGGATGAGGTTGAGTGGGGACAGTTCATGCCCATTATCGATGCAGAGTGTAGCTGGGAGGCTGCCTAGGTGAGGTGGGGATGTATTGCTTCCACAAGAGCCTCACTGTGCTGCTTCTACGTGAAGGCTGGTCACGGTAGATTGATGAGGTTTGAGGTGATCCAGTGTGGAGGGTGGCTCCAAGACTCCCTGTTTGTTTGATAGGAGATGGTGTGGGGCTTCTCCTCCGCGGCAGCACAGGAAACAGGCTCTGACACCTTGGCCTGACCCCAGGATGACGGCAGAATCCCTTTGGTCTGGGCTTAAATCCACCCTTGGCTCAGATTTGTGAGTTTACTGAGTGCTAAAATGTCGTTATTGAGGTTCTGTGGTGTATTAGCTAAAACCAGAGCTGCATGCCTGGTGAGCCAGAGCAAAGGGAGGGAGAATCGTGTGTCTGAACTGAAACGGGCATTTCAGATCCTCTGGCTCTGCTCCAGAGCAAATATCCAAAAGTTTACGAATGCGGGGTGCGCTTTACATTTCAGCGCTCTTGCCAAGGTCTTGCTTACTGGCTAGCACACTAAATATAGTAAAACACAGAGGTTTTTCCTATTTTGCTTTGATCAGTAAAGTAAACTTTTAAAGATTGCTCTGGGATGAGATCCAGCTTCTGAGGCAAAGAATGGCCGAGGCTCAGGCATGAGTTAGTAATAGAGTGTCAGGAAAATCAGTCTGACAGTTCTCAGGCCAGCTGCTCAGTAGACAGAATCAACCAAGTTGGGATGGCCTGCAACATGAACGGGATCAACAGCAGCATGTGCTCTTTAGCAGCTGAAGTGTCAGGAATCAAAAGACAATCTTCCATTTCTGGGAGGTTCCAGATACACATTGGTATCTGGAGCTGGGTCAGCCACGGTTGGTCACCATCGGGCACGAAGTGGGGCTGGTCATGGTGTCAGCTGCAGGCCCTGTATTTTATTGCCCTGTATTTTGGTTGCAGTTCTCTGGAAACCTTTCTGTATTGCAGAGCAGTTTACAGATTACCTGAAGGTACCAGATGTCTTTTGAACCAGTTGTTCTGGTGGTTGGGTCAGTGTATAAGGCTTTTCTTGTAGCGCTTCATTGACAAATGTCATGTTACTTAAAGCACAAAGGTAGTTTCTTTTTGTGACTATAGTCTGGTTGTTTAAGAGGTTTTTCACTTAAAAATGTCCTCAGCAGGTCAATTTGAGCTACTGCTGTAGTGATTTGCGGGAGTGAGGTGGATGCCCAGGCAACTGCAGGGTAGCAGAAGGACATTGTACGGTGCTCATGCACGTTATCTGGCTCCAAGGCAGCTTAAGGGAAGGTTTGCTTATCACTGAAGAGTTGAGGAAGGTCTCTGCTCACTATATGGCATTAGTCAAACCCCCTGAGACGCTGGGCTGTTCTGAGGATGATAATCTCACCACTGCAGGCATCGATGGTACTCCCTCATGTGGAGCAGTGGGCTCAGTTCTGCTCGTTCTCTATGAAACACATGGCAGAAATAGAAAGGGAAAAAGTAGATGCATGACAAGGTTGGAATATTTGGTTTGAAGACGAGTAAGATAGAGTTATAAATATTAAATGGTCTACAGAACATAAATTTGGGGCTTTTGGGCAGTTTTATTTTGCCAGGAACAAAGGGAATTGAGAATGAAATTCAGATGAGTCTTGCTCACAACTGATGGGAAGGAACGCACTGTTTTATGCTAGTAGCCTGTGGGACTGTCTGCTGTGGGGTGTGAGGAGCCTGGAGGTGAGCTGCCCAAGGAACTGGGGATGCTCTGAAAACAGACCCATCTGACACAGTAATCACAGCATGGCAGGCTTTATTTGTAATGCATAAATGACCACCCTGTGGATTTCTTGACCATCTCTTCTGCCTGTTCCAGCCACTGGGCAGATGATGTTGAGTTGGAAATCTTAGTGGGGTAGATAAGGTAGCTCTGCCCTGGGAGCAGGGTAAAATGGGGCAGTGTGTGCCTGTGGTTCTTCTGTCCATGAGAATGGCACAAGTGAACTGCATGACAGCAAGGTGGTGGCCAGCATGTGCCCAGCCAGGGAGCTCACTTTCCACCATGTATGCCCTGCAGCCAGGGGCCAGGAGAAGTGTTAATGTATGGTGAGGGCTTGGGGATGTCATTTACTCATCTAGGCCGTGTCACAGCATGGGCTGGGGATGCCACAGCTGAACTCCAACTTGTATTCCCAGTGTTTGTGTCTTAAAGTGACATGTAATATGCTCCTGTTTTTAATGATGTTATTGTGTTGCTTGGATTGCTTTTGACTGCCAGTTGCTTTTAAAAAATATTCCAGCTGTGATATTCATACAGATCTGTACTCCCTGATTAAAATTCCTCGTTGCCAGATACAAAGCTCCTCCTCCTGTCTAAATAGCTTTGCAAACCAGTTTTTTTCCATGCAGTGCAAATCTCTCCCTGTGGGTGCCTAGCAGCTCTCAAACTGCCGTGCTGTCTGCAGTGACATCTACTGACATGAGCAGAGATTGACTGCAAGGTCTAAGGGGCAAAATTCACTGACGTATTAATCCAGTGTCTCTTCTGTTATATTGTCACCTGCTCTGCTCCCCCAGTGATGCCATTTTTGGTGTTTGCCTGATGGTATCATCCATAGCCATTCCCATGCCATTGGCCATGTTTCCCCAATGTATGGACTCTCCTGCAGGCAACGGCCAGGATTTTGTTCTGTGATGTACACAAAAAACAAGCCAAAGAAAGCATATTACTCAGTTTGCAATAATGCTGTACATTAATAGTGCTGCAGAGCTGCTGTTACTTCTCTGAGTGTTGTTTTTCCACTTCTTAATGATTTGTCACGTCTGCCATTGGGACTTGTATGACAATGACATTGCAAACTGTTTCTCTTGTATGCACTGAGGAATGCCTAACAGGTACTTAATAATGAGGAGCTGAGGAGCTCTGCAGGTGCATTTGCTCATTTTTCTTTTTTAATGATGAGCACAAAATGATCAAAAATAAAGATAAATTATGAAAATCCTTACACACCTTGAATCTCAGTCCATTTCCTCCACTTCTGCCTCTGCCTTTCTAAGGGACTTTGCTTGGTTTCTCCTTTTAATTCACTTCTATCGCACAACTTTGTGAATTGTTGTGCCTAACAAATCCTTTGTTGAAACTAATGAAAATTGCAGTGAGCTGCCTGATGATGATGATTTTGTAAAAATGCATGTGCATCTGTCTTGCAGAAATGCTGCTCATGGATTCTCACTTATTCAGGTGGACAGTATGAAGGTCACCATGAAGGATATCTTACAAAAGGCCTTAAAGAGAAGGAAGGGATCACAGAGAGGCTCAGGTGGGTTATTTATCCTGTTTTCTAGAGGGTAGGGTGTTTTTCCATGAGCATATTTTATGTATCTTTCTAATGGCTGTGAAAGATGCTCAGGTGTTTTCAGCGGGTATTGTGATTTTCAGCACCTCTCTGAAGCAGTTCTGTGCCCATGTTTCTGTTCTAGATGCTGGCAAAATGCAGACAGTGGAGGAGCTGCATAATGTTTGCTGCAGAGCAGTATATCCATTACTGCAAATATTTATTTATGATAACAAAGCCATTTGCATTCAAGTCCAGCTAGCGGCAGTTTGAGATGATGGGTGGAAGTACAGTAAGACCAGTCTGTGATGGAATTTGTGTATGCTTTTAATTTATGTAAGCAAATGATGCTTAGTATGATTTTAAATAATTTAAAGGATTCCTCGTTACTTGTAGAGAAAGAGAAAAATTTACTTTCTGTGATGTTGTCAAAATTATTATAGATAAGACTTTCCAGTGTTTTAAAAAAGAAAATTTACTGTGCTTGCATTTGTATTTTAGAGCAATGCTTTTCCAGGGTGTAAATGTGCATTCACATATATGTTAGTGTATATATATTTCAAAAGTATAAGGCTGAGATATCTTTCCAGCAACAAAAAATAATTACTGTGAGAAATTGCATCGAGTCTTGTCACGCAACAAAGGAACTTTAATATAAACCTATCTATATACTGGGGAAAGATAAGGATCTTGTCTTTGTAAATGAATGAAACCTCCTTATATACCCTTAGTTTTAACTATGGGAAAAGAAAATAAACCCTGTTCTCCTTAGAAGAAGTAGCTTGGCGCAGTTTTTAAACGAGTATATAATCTGTCATGGATTTAATTAGCTATCTTCAGATGAGAGCTGAAGTTTTAATAAAAGTTAGAAGAGATAACACAGTGAAGGACACGGATGAGCTGTCTCAAGGCCATATTCCAAGGGAACGATAAGAGCTGTAAAAAATGGCAGAGGAGAGCAATTGAATGAAGCAATGAAAATCTGATTCTCGTAAAGAAAAAAAAGAGGAAGGGAAAGAAAGGGGGGGTGGAGAAGAGAGCTGCTGGTCGGGTGTTGTGGATGAGACCCGCCAGCGTCTGCAGCAATTTGGCCACTGGCCAGGAGTCATTGTTCACCCTCGGCTGTGGCGGCTCGGTCCAGATGTGCCAACTGCACGTTTCGGCTTTTGCCAGCTGACTGCGCCGTTTGATAACCAGCTCTCTGGATGCCCATCACTGGCCGCAGAGATAGAATTAAATGATGATGATCTTCCCACAAGTTGGGAGAGGAAACAATGCATATAAATCTTGATTTCATCTCAGCGTGAGAAGTCTTTATCCATCATCACTCATAATGAACAAGTCGTTAGCTGCGATGAATGGTGTTCTGGTTTTTTCAAACACCTCTTTTGTTCACTTTTTTGGGTGACTTTTATTTATTTCCTGGGGTCAGATTTCCCTTCCCTGAAGGGAGGTGGCTAAAGGCTTCTCTTAGCTCAGTCTTTAAACTACTTTCCTCCTTTGTGTAACAGATGTTTTACTCTTTGTCCATTTGACATTTGTTTTTGCTTTTATTTTGTTACTTCTGCTCAGTAGTTTAGAAATGGAATGGACCTGTCATTTACTGCTTCAGCTAATACTTAATTTGTTTCTACTGTTTTGGCACTCCTGCTCAGAAGCCTTTGTAGTAACAGGGTATATAAGCATGTATATATCATTTGGGGCTTTTTTAATTAAATCAGAAATCATTTGAGGTTGGAACAAGATGATCTTTAAGGTCCCTTCCAAACCACTCTATGATTCTGTGATACAGATTTACCTTTATAAATTATCCATGTGACATCTCACCTCTTTGAGATCTGACTGTTGTCCCTGCTGTGGATATAACCACAGAGAAGTCACAGCTAAGAACATACTGGTTGCTTGTAGGTCTATTTGCTCTTGTACTCTTAACTGGATTCCTTGAAATAGTCGGTGTTGCTTGCAGATTTCAGTTTAAGCTTGTGTACAGCTGCACCCAGAATTAGGACCTGCAATTGTAAGCTTCATGAGTTGGAGTCACTGCAAGAGTGAAAGGTTTCTGCTTGAATTCCCATATTACCACATTTCTTAAGTGAAATGTTTTATTATTGTTGTAGTTTAAATGTTGGCGAGGGCTCGGAATGCTTTGTTGTCATGTAAGACTGTCACATGGGTGAAAGGACTTCTCAGTTTAGGTATTTATGTATTAAATTGGTAAATCACAAATTGAACTTTTTCATCCAAAACAGCCCTTATTCACAATTACTTCCCTTATGCAGACTGTGATTCATCAGATTCTAGACTTTGGGGGGGGATGGAGGGTCTTGTCTATCATCTTTAAAACAGCAGAAATCACAGCTGTCTGCACAGAGGGATCCTCTTGCTTGTGCTTCCCTCTGGATCTGAATCCAGCCTTTCCCAGCCCCCTTCTGCTGCTGTCAACAGGGTGGATGGAAATGCTGCCTGGGCTAAAGGATGGTTAAAACTCAGGTTAAAATACAGTGGGCATGGACAGGCTGGGACAGGAGTGGAGAAAGATTGGGGCATTGGTTTTCATCTACCACCAGATTCCTCATATGTGGCTGGATATGCCTCCTACTTTCACTGGGAGATGCACAGATAAATGGAATTTGAGATCAGACTATTAGCACAGTACAGTACTGCGCTGTTGGAGTTCAAGTCATTATTAAGCAGTGGATTAGGATGTCAAAGTTCTGAATAAAAGATAAGACATAATTTAGGAAAAGGGTTTCTTCTCATTCAGCAAAGCGTCCTTTCAAGTTGATTGTTCTGGTTTTTAAAAAGAACTAACCAAAAATAGAGCTAACATGTTTATTTAGAGCTTTCTTAGTAGTTTAATAAAACAGAAATGCCTACAAACCTTCCTGCACATTTTCAGTGTGCCTCCAGACCAGTCTTCACAGGGCAAATGAATTCATTACATTTACAGCTTATGCTGTTTTCAGGTACTTGTATAAGAAATTGCTTTGTGACCGATTTTCACCACTGACTTACATGACAGTTTTCAAATTGATCCCATGTTTGTAGGGAAATGCAAACCTTGGTTGGCTGTTTTGGGTGAGGAAGACATTGAAGAACTTCAGTTGTGTAGTCAGGAAGGGTATGTTCCAGCGTGACTACAGCTCAAATACTAGGCTAGCTTTGTCTAATTACTTTATCCAGGCAGCAGTCTGCAGTTCACAAGGTGGTTTTCCATCAAGCACTTGAGTTGCAGGTCCCTAAAAATCCATCCTCCTCAGTCACCTCTGTGAGTTGATGACCATGTCAGCCTTTCCATTTTTGACTTCTGTTTAAAAATGCATGAAATTAAAGGAAATGATGTTCAGAGACTTCATAGCAGCCTTCCAGTATCTGAAGGGGGCCTATAGGGATGCTGGGCATGGACTCTTCATTAGGGACTGTAGTGACAGGACAAGGGGTGATGGGTTCAAACTTAAACAAGGGAAGTTTAGATTGGATATAAGGAAGAAGTTCTTTACTGCAAGGGTGGTGAGGCCCTGCAATGGGCTGCCCAGGGAGGTTGTGAATGCTCCATCCCTGGCAGTGTTCAAGGCCAGGTTTAACAGAGCCTTGGGTGATACGGTTTGGTGTGAGGTGTCCCTGCCCATGGCACGGGGGTTGGAACTGGATGATCTTAAGGTCCTTTCCAACCCTAACTCTTCTATGATAATGCGATTCTAGTTAGATATTATGTTGACCTGTCCCACCACAGGCGGCAGCAGCAAGGGAATACTGAATCGTCTTTGCCACATACCCAAATAACCAACTGGAAGAGGTACATGGGAATGGCTGAAGTTAGGGAAAAGCCTGCTAGAACCAGTCAGTTCTACATACTGGAGGAGATAGATCTGCAGAGGAAATTGCCGAGGCAGATGTTTAATTAGTTGGAGTCAGGCTGGATAAATCAGGATAGGAACTGTCTATGCAGATAGGCTGGTGTGCCTCCCTTTTCTCTGCGCTGGTTTCATTGTCTTTAAAAACTAACTGTTCTTTTTGCTTGGGAAAGACACAGCAGAAACAGTCATATAACCTCTCTGTTATTGTAATGGATTCCCTTGTGTACACTCATAAAATAGAAAATGTAATTGATGTTTTCTTATGGTAATGAAAAATAACTAAGTAGAATACTTTATCATCCATTTGTTTAACCTATTGCGTGCTCAGCAGCATGTATTGCACATGCATATTTTACATGAGAGCTGGAAATGAAACACTCCTGGTTGTGGAATGAGGTCCCAGAGGACACTGGTCTAATCCAGCAGCGGACCACCTTGAGGGAGGCTCAGGGACATCTCTCATGCCAGGAGTGTTTTCTCAGCATAGCCAGAATGGGGGAGAAAGAGACTAAAGATGCGGCAATATCCTGGCCATGGCAGCAAAGAGGGGGAAGCTGACATTGACCCGGTCAATGCTGAGGTGCTGGGATAAAGGCTCTGTGGAGGGCCTGATATCCACAGATAGTTTAAGAATTGCTATGTCTGGATCTCTTTGAGGATGTTTTCTGAGGATCTTTGAGGATCTCTTTGAGGAACAGTGTGAGCACTCCAGCAGCTGATGGTTTAAATATAAAACTGGCCTGCAGTGTGGCAGATCTACGGAAAGAGAGTCACATGCTTGGAATCATGAGCATAAGAACTTCTTGTTCTTCCTGAGTGTATCAGGGAAAATGCCAGACATGGTGCTGTCTGGGTTTTGGACAGGCAGAATAAGGGAGCCTTGAAAAGCTTTTTTAGACGGGGAGATTTGGGTGGTTTAGTCCTTGGTATACTTCTCCTCCCTAGAAATCAGCAAAAGGTTTAATATTAACTTCTAAAAAAGGTAGATATTGGACATGCTTTAAATCCCACGCTTATGCATTGCAGAGGAAGTTTTGCAGGTCACACAGATCGTGTTGTGTAACTGTAAAATACCATTGTCAGTATAACTTGATTTGCTTTACCACTGAATGATTTTCCTATACAGTCAAGCCAGTGTGTATTTCTACCAACCTTACTTTTACCAAGACTTACATCTTGTTCAGCCTAGGAATTTAGGTTATGGTATAGATGTACATTTTAAATCCTACTGTTTTAGGAAGACTTTGAGTTGGACCAAGGGAAGCACAGATGAAGTGCAGAGTGCCTTATGTTCAGACACCACAGCACGGCTGAGCCTGGGTCTGACAGCATCCCACAATGTGCAGCAGGCAAGTTGATCTTATCAGGCTTTTTATATCTGCACTAAAGCCCGCATTCAATATTTTCTGTAAAATATGCTTGCATGGCTTACAATGTTAAGAACATAAGAAAGATGATGACTTCATTCTTGATACTTTGTGTATCTTGATGCCATGGTGATTCTCAAGTCAAATACGTGCGGGAACGACATACACACTTGAAAGTTATCTTCCTCGCCTTTGAGCTATCTCATTCCCTTTGCTCTTCAGCAGATACATTCTGTGGGATGCCAGTTGCCTTTTCCTCTAGAGCTTGACTGAATGGACTATTAATACTAATATAAAGTAAATAAGAATACAGAGGGAATGTGTACAGAGGCTTTGTTTTCAAACAAATTAGGCATTGATGTCAGTATACGAAAACCGAATGTGCTTTGAAGGAAATTAGAGACAAAAGTAAACAGTGTAAAATGCTGAAATGTTAGAATGATCCCGCCTGTTTCTGGTCCATGTCAGCCTCTCTTCATCTGGAATTTCTTGTGAACAGAGAAGCCTTGTCTGATTAATCTTGTCTGATTTTAAGGAGGAATTCTTTGCAGGGTGAACATGCTACCGATGGTTATTTAATAGCTGCTTCAGACTGCGAACGTCCATGGCCCAGAAACACTCAGTCCTTTTAAGAACAAAATGCTATACAAGTTTAATTGTTATAAACAATACCTTCTGCCAACATTTCTCAGACATGACCTGTATTTTCCATAGGTTAGAGTGAGTTATTAACTTAGTATTCTGTTCAGCTTGGAGAAAGACTAATACTTTTCCTATAAATGAAAACAGCTGCTTTACAATAACATTCAAGTCCCTAACAGCTGTCAACCAGTGCTTTTTGCATTCTTTAAAATGTGTAAAGTGACCAAAAATAGTCTGAAATAATCTTACTAGTCTGGATACATGTATTATCTCACTGCCACAGGAAGCTGAATAATATGGAGAGGGAGAAATCCAAGGAACAGGAATAGGACCCAAAAATAAGTCTCCATATCATGTTTTTGTTTCTACGACAGAATCAAAGCTGCACAGGCCACTTAAAATAATCTGTTCCTCCACCAGGTAACGCAGAGCAGAATCTCTTACAAAAGCATGTTTTGTAATGGTGTATTATTCCTGAGTTTTGGATTTGTTCGCACAGAGCTGTTAAGTTATCCCTTAGAACTTGCAGAACGGAAGCTCAAAATAAAGAGCTGCATGAGGCTCATCTTCCATTCGGAAAGCAGCCAGGACACAGAGATCTGAGTTTTGTTTGAAAATTCATTTTCCAACAAAACAGTCTCAGCACCACTTTTAACTTCAAATCCCTTAAACAGGCTTTCTGAAGCTGTTTATAAACACGTTTTACCCAAAACTTACATAGGACAAAAGCACAAACAGCACTGCAAAGATGCTCCTTGAGTGAAAACCCACTTACTGTCAAGCACCCCGCCAGGCCCACGGGAAATCATGCGGATGCTGCAATGCTGACGGTTTTCATTTAAACCTGTCCCACAGTTTTCCTGTTCCTGGAGTATCTCAGCAGATATGTTTGTAAATACTTGGTCTTGCTGCTGTGGTGCTGGATTTCATTTGTCTTGCTCCTGTCTCCCGCAGACGCTAAGGAGAGCTGGTGTTCCCAAAGTGCTGGGAAGGGCACAGTGGCTTCATGTCCCCATGGCCAGCGAGCGGGCCTGGGTCCTATGTGAGCCTGTGCTCTGAGCTCAGGGCAGGGTGCCCTAGAGCAGCCACCCTTTGGAGCAGGGGTGGTGGTTCTCCTTTCCAAGTAGGTGCTTGCGTGTAGCAGGAGAACACAAAGCAAGGGGCAAAGTGCTAATTCTGGGCGTCTTTTGGATGGTGCCTGCTCTCCCAGTTCATGGTGGGGGTTATCAGGGTGTTGGAAAGTGGAGGAGAGGAGGACCTGATGAGCTGTGGGTGTTCAGGCCAGGCAGGACCCGTTCACTCAAAGGCCTCCAGACATATGCCAGTGTGCTGCTGGGTTGGGGCTGGGGTGGCTGTTCTTGGTGCAGGAGGAGCTATAGGTCTTGCTTGGCATTTTGCTTCCTCATCCCCTCTGCTAGGCAGAGGAATGGGACAAAAAGCAATGGGTGAAAAGAGGGGATATGTCTGTGTTTGTATTACATATACATGTATTGATTTATATATATAAAAAGGATAATTAGGAAGATAAACTATGGAAAACCACAGCCTTGTGATTAAAGCATTTTTCAAAGATGAACCACAATTAGAATAAACTGCTGTTAAAGTTTGATACTGTCATTGCGTGACGGTAACTGAGGAGTTTAAATTTAAAAGTAAATATGTTAGAGTAGGCGATGCATATGTTTGCTCTGACTCTTAAAGAGATGGAAGCCCCAGCATCTGTGACAGTGAAAAGCCAATTAATTTGTATTTCCATGTGTTTACATGCATGCTTTTCTGCTTAATGGCAGTTTTGAGTTTCTCTGGCTTTCAGTGCTTTGTTTTGGATAATTATGGCATCCCTGCAGAGTCTTGCACCCCCAGTTATTGTGTGGCTTTACCTGGAGATGCTTCAGAAATCCTGGTTTTCCTTGCATTAAGCTGTTTATATTAGCAAGATTGAAATTAAGAACATCATCAGTATTTGCAGATCTCGGGTCAAGACTTTACTACTTGCTACACCCCTTTTGCCAAAGAGGCAATGGAGTAATGAAGGTGCAAACGAAGCGCATAGCCCTGGTTGTGCCAGGTTTCAGTGTAGTAACAGAGGTGTAAGTGAAGTGTGTAGCCCCTGGTTGTCCCAGGTTTCTCCCTTGTTGGCCAGTCCAGTGCTAGGCATGGTGAGGAACTGGCTGTCCTTGGAGAGGCTCACCTCTACCAGGTTGTGCCTATTCATACCCCTTGGGCTTAGCACCCTCCTATTCCTGGAGCTGTGTTTGGGTCTGATACTCACTTGCTTTCTGCTACGATGTCTCTTGGGGAAAGAGGAAGGATCGCTTGCTTGTTACTCTCATAGCAGTTTTTCTTCAGCAGGATTGGTGTTGCACAGGGGGAGCCCCTCTGTGCTGGAGAGGGTGCGATAGAGGCTGCTCAAAATGATTTCCTTCTGCCTACAAACTCCATCTCTGGTTTGTAGCGGTAATAATTTATTTCAGCAAGCCCTTTCTCACCAGCCTGCTGATGCTGAGCAGACACTGATGTGATGAGGGGATGGGGGTGCTGGTGTGCGTGGAACAGCTTGTCGGGAATCAAGTTTGTGACTAGTTTGTCAGGATAGAAACAGCTCGTTTGTCCTGTGTGTTTGGGCTGATGGGATTCTGGACATCAGCCCGAATGGGTGAGGAAAATTTTTCGCGCCTGGCCTCTGAAATGAAAGTGAAATATTGAACTGAGTCTATTTTAGAGCTGTTGGTATTGAAATCATACAGTTATGGGTTCTTCTGGATTGGTAATAAAGCTGTAATTTATGTGACATTTTACATTCTGCAGTTCAGTGTTTGGATGATAGAGACTTTTTGTTTCTTTTACCCATTCTGGTGGAAAAAGGATAATGCTGATACCCCAGGTACCTTTATGGGGCCATCTCCTTCCTGCTAGTGTTCTGTGAAACGCACCCACCCAGCCTGTTGTGCTGCCCCAAGACCATCACTTACACGTCTGTGACCAGGGGAAAGTGCTTTCTCACTTCATAATCCGAGTCAGTAAGGCAGAGCCCCCACATTGATCTGCATCACAAATAAGCAGCCGAGCTTGGGCTGCAGGATGTTCACACTGGTGCCATCTCTTGGGTAGCAGAGCGTGGAGAGGACTCAGGGTGCAGAGCTGTAATGTGTGCTGCTCTGCCAGTACCCAGTGCAGCTCCCTGCCCTGACATGGTCCCCTAAATTTGTGATTAGAAAACCCCAGCAAGCCTGTATATTGTATTTCTGCTATACATACATCACACTATAGATCAAAAATGATGATTTCTTTCTCCTTTCAGCTTTATTTAGAGCTATATATTGCTAAGGCAAAAAGAACAGGACTCTAAAGCAGCAATTAAATAAGCACTTCTGTTAGTATACTGCAAAGACTGGTTTGCTGCTAGTCCTGCTGCATGTTTTCTATACCACAAAAAAGGCAATACATAAATGAAGTGTTTGTTTCTTTTTAAGGGGCTTTTGACTAAATTCTTTAATTTCACTGGCTGTCAAGGTAGTGTTAAGTAAAATGGGTTTGAACTGCTGTAGTTTTTGTGTACTGGACTAGATGTCAGAAACCTTTGCCATCACTGGAAATTCTGTCACTCTGGATTTACTATCTGTTTCCCACAGCTGAATTCTTAAGCAGTGTGATTTAACACCTTGGCTCTCCATCAGCCGGTCCTGGCATTTATTTGAATGCATTACACCACTGGTTTCCATAAACTATTTTACAATTGTTTCATATAAATGACTGTTTATTTCTACAAAAACCATCTGTATTTCTGCAGAGAGCAGCGGATAACTGTGTGTAAAATTCAGTAATGTCACAACAGTGCAAGTTAAGGAAAAACAGATTGGACCAAAAAAAAAGTCTCTTGCTTGTGAACAACGTTAAAAGTTTGTTTTCACTATTTCAATATCTTTATTTATTAACCACTATTTGCATTTGTAATGATAAAATCTTTATTCCACTTCAGAGGTGTTGAGGGGCTTTGGGGATTTTTAGCGGATAAACAGATTTAAGATGTCCTCAGAGCAGTAGGATTTGAGATGTAAACATTCTGGCTTTACAGCTATTTCCTCTCAAACTGTTTACATATTTTCTGTTGTTTTATTGTCATTGCCAAGCACACAATGGAATCCTTGCCCTTTCTATCGTGTTCTAAAAAAAATCCCATGGAAGGAGGCCTGAGACCTTTCCCTGTTCCCAGTTTCTGTGTTCTCTGCAGTGTATCCAACCCTTCCCTTCTTCAGTCCTCTTTGTTTCTGCCTGGTATTCCTCCTCTGGCCCAGGGTCAGTGTCTGCTATTGGTAGGAAACCTGGTCTTCACCCATGGGCAGGCTGCACCCAGGAGGACCCCCTGGGGACAATGTGGTGCCACAGTTTGCCTGCTCCCAGCCAGCTCCAAGAAGCACTCATGCTGCTGAGCTATTTTAATTCTTCCATATGCTGCCCATGTGCTGGCAGAGGGAAAGCTGGAATCCAGTAGTCTTACACTTAGCGCGACTGATACTTTCTGACAGACTATTTGAAATGATAGAAATACATAAACCTCCTCTTTTTTATGACCTTGTAATAGCTGCAACATATTTCCAGCAAATATTTTCTATGGCAATAATAAAAAAGTGATAACAAAAAAATAAATATAAATATAGTTTAAACTCAAAAGAAATCACACTTTCAAAACCTAGGGTTGGAGCAGTGAGGCAATAAATCACGTATCCTTGTGAAAGGAGAAACTTGAAATAGGAAAGCGCCACAGACATCACCATTAAATGTTTATCAACTATTTTCTTTTGACTACTTTCCTGCCTGTGCACGGACAGAGCCTGAAACATAGCTCATGTTCACTTTGCTTATTTACTGTCTGCCTGGCATCTACGGCGTTGGCTATTAGGTGAGGACTGCCTAACTGTCTTTAAACTTTGATTTTTCATGTGTTATTTTGGAAGTACAGCTGTACACACAGGGAAGTGCATCCCCTGACACTGTGCTGCGCCTGCGCTGCTTGTCCCCACACAGTGACACTGGCTCTTGCATGTGCTTATCTTTTGGGAGATGAGCCAGAATATCACATCCTTCACCTCAGCGGACATTCAGGTGTTCTCATAGCTGTTTGCTGGCTCACCAGGGACAGGTCGTCTTGTGCTGTAAAGGAGACGAGTTGTAGTGTCATGCTGAAATACAGTGGGTGCGTGCCCCTTCCTGCTGCGGGCATCAGTAGCTGTGGTGTTTGGAGGCTGGAGATGTTCTCATACCAGAGTGTTTCTGCAGAGAGTCATCTGAGGAGCTGTGCCAGGAAAAACTAATCCACAAACAGCACAAACCACCATGAGCAGACAGTCACTGAGAGACTTGGTCGAGGTCAGACACGAAGATGCTGTGCTGTTAACTGTGATGTATTACATGTTGCTTGTGTCTGCTGCTCTCTCGGATGTGATGGTGGCAAGAGTTTGTTGAAGGAGAGGCCAGTGGACCTTGCCTTCCTTACCAGGCAAACTGTAAAATGAAATTGCAGCAAAGAGCAGAATTAATAGATGACATGCAGATGGATGCAATATAGTGAGGAAGAAAATAGGCATAGCTTTTGCAGAGCAGGTTGTGCTGTGGAAACCGATGAGCAGGCTTTGAGGGAGTCAGAGACCATCTGAATACGGATGATGTGTTTTATACAGCATGCTTAGATTTCCAAAAAAGATTTGACAAAGGCTCATGAAGCAATTAAGCTGTCACAGGGTGAGAAGGAGGATCCTCACATAGATTAATAATTGATTAAAGACAGGAAACAAAGAATAGGAATAATGGCCCTCCGTTATTAGTAACTAGGTTACTGGTGGAGTTCCAGTGGAACTGGTAGAACCTGCATTGTTCCGTTAATGTGGGGCATGGAAAAGGATGTGAATGCTGATGTGACAAAATGTGCTGTTGATACAAAAG